TAAATTTTGTCTTCGATAAATGCAGAGGAAGAACTAAATTTCACCAATACATTTTTTTTTACATTTTTCTTATACATTTCTCAATTAATCAATCTGGAGGCTGTGGAAAATATAAAGCGGTTTTCAAATTATTTAAAAAGAGTGAAAAATCTAACAAAAGTCCAGGTTTAATACAGATCACCAGAGGAACCATCACTGGTTGTTAAATTTTCTCTTCGGTATATATGCAAACGGAAGATCTAAATTTTACAAATAACGTCATCTTTTTCTTTTAAGTTGCAATACTTTTTTTTAAATAAAAAAAAATGTTAATATCATTTATTTGTTTAATTACATAAAAAAATAAGCAAACATTTTTAAATGTCACTCAATTCTTTATGTAAAAAAACCTAAAAACATTTTGTTTTCTAAAATTAAAGAATGAAACTCACTTTATTAAATTCAAACCTTTTTTTTTCATGATTGTGGTTCAAAAGAAATTTCTAGATAAGAAAAAAATTTGAAAATTTCATGAAACCGCTTCTGCACTCCTCTTTTTTTGTATATATATATATATATATAAAACTTAACGATTGTTTTATCGAAAACTTGTTCTTATGGAGAAAAAGTTAAAAGTGATTTTCTGGCAACGACAGCTTTAAAAGAAACTCCTAATTTATCGTTCCATCGTTAAAATTCAATTTATCAGCGAGAAAATTTGGAAATGGACATATTTTTCACGAGAAGATAAGAAAAAAAATTCCCATGCTTCTGATCATCAGCACATTTCGCATTTCTCAAATTTCAGAAATAAATTAAAAATTGTGAACAGAATAAGAAAATTATCGTTTAGCAAAAAGTGTATAAAAATTTACATATAAAATAAAAAAAAATTACTTTATTACAAAATTTAATTTTTACCTGCAATAAACTATTTTATGTTTTACACATTTAATAATAGTATTTAAAATACAATAATAATATTCAACATAATATTTTCCCACAGGCCAACAAAATTTTGTTGCCCAACCAATGAAAGCCAATTCTTATAGGATTTTGTCCGTAGAATCCGAATTTGACCTTGAAAATATTGGATTGGCTCTATTTTTCAAGCAATTTGCGTTCCAATACGCAAATTACGCATTTTTGGCATATTTTGAATGAATGTAAAACCAAATATCGAAACAGTAAATCTGTCCGCATAGGACCAAATTACAGCTTAAATACTGCTCTTTAATATCCAAAAACAAAAAATTTAATTTATATACGCTTTAACCTTTAATGTCCAATGGAACATACGCTGTTTCATAAACGTATTGAAAATAACATTACTTTTCACCAGGTAAGACAAATTAAGTAAAAATTAGTCTCTCCGGGGGTATTTGTAGTCGCTGCTTAGAAATCTGTATTCAGATTTTAATATTCAAAATGGCGCATTCAATATGGAGAATTTTTTTTTAATTGTCATTTTTATCATAAAGGTGTAAACTATTTTTAAAAATTAGTCCGAAATTTTTAATTCTTATATTTCGTAGCAGATTTATATGTAGTATTTAAGCTTTAATTTGGTCCTATGCGGACAAATTTACTGTTTCGGTATTTGGTTTTACATTTATTCAAAAAATGCCAAAAATGCGTATTTTGCGTATTGAAACGTAAGTTGCTTGAAAACTAGAGCCAATCCAATATTTTCAAGGTCAAATTTGGATTCTACGGACAAAATCCTATAAGAATCAGCAATAACATTTTAGGCAACATGCAATTGATGAAATTTTGTCGGCCTGTGTTATCAAACAACTATTTTGGAATAAACTTTCTATACATTTTTCTAGTTATATCTACTCTCTAAATTTAAATTAGTAAAAATGTTTACTAGTTTCATTAACAAAAGCCGTTTAAGATTGAAATAAATAAATAAAAATGATAAAATATTAAAAAATGTTCCTTCCATAAAAAAAAATATTTTAAATTTAATTGGATACAAACGAGTAAGTAGATAGTAAAAACCTTCCAGTTTTAAAACTTATATAAAGAAGCAAAATGTTCATGCATATTATTCTATTTGTGAAAAATTTATAACAGTCGACATAAAAATTTAAAAATGTACAAAATTTTATGCGTATTTTTCGCTTTTATTGCTTTTGGACTGGTAAAATATTTAATTTATTATTATCAAATTTACAATATTGAAATAAAAATTCATATTTACAATATGAATTAAAACTTTTAGAATTCATATTAGAAGAATTAAATTCCGAATAAATTGGAAAAAATCTCCATTGAAAATATTAATAAATAGAAATATATCCCATCAAAAAATAAATATATGTATAATTTGTTTTATTTTTTATTTGTTTTGTAAAAATTTATTATAATTAATTATAAAATTAGTAGAAAATTTTTATTAAATATTATCTCTTTTAAAGGCAGTAGATCAAATACTTATGATATAACAAAGGGATATGTTGTTAAAAGAAAAAATAGTTCAATTATCACTGTAAAATCAGATAATTCAACAACAAACATTACTTGGAATAAAGATGTTTCATCAAAAAATAATGCTTTCAGAGTAAGTAAAATCAAAACAATAATTTTTTATTTACACATTTTTTGAGAATACAACTAATTCTTAATTTCTAAATTTCAATTAAAAATCGTTTCTAAGAAAAATTTCTCTGAAAAATCGTTTCTTCACTGTATCAAATTAATATTTACTTGAATCGAATAATTTATATATTTTTTGTATGCGAATATTTTAATAACTTAATTAAATTTAAAACAAAATATTTTCAGACAACTTATGAATTTACTTATCTTTCACAAAATAAAACATTACGTGCAAGCTCAGCAAATTTGTGCAATCTGGCAAAAAGGGGTAGCTTTGAGGAAGTTTGTCAAACGTATTTTTTGAATATCTTATCAAATGCCAAAAGTTGTCCGATTAAAAAGGTAGATTTTTAATATACTGAATGTTGTATATAAATTTAAATATTATTGATAAATTAATACTATAAAAAAACTTTTATTTCTCGATTTTTAACTTGAAGACGAATAACAGAGAATAATATATTTTTACAGGGTACCAATAGAATTTTCCGACCTCGATATTTTTATAAATACTCAGGTGATAAATCTGCAGGATGTGGAAAAATTAAAGGTCTTTTCAAATTATTTGAAAAGAGTGAAAAAACTAACAAAAATCCAGTCATAATACACGCCTTCCGAGGATCAAAAATTCTCTGTTAAATTATGTCTCTTGTAAAGTTCAATAAATTAAATATAAAATTTAAATTAACAAATTAATTTATAAAGCAAGTGTATAATAAATAAATTAAAAATATAAATATACAAATATAGGCCAATCGCATTATTATGTATTTATTTTAGAATTAATTCTTTTAGACTTCGCACTTGATAATTAATTTTAAAAAGTAGCATTCAAACTGAAAAAGTAGCAAAAATAGTATTTATCAAAAAAATAAACTTGACGACAAAAAAAAACTAGTTTTAGACACTTTACAAAACTGACAAAAATTTCATTCTGTATTTCATTTTCTTGACTTTTTCCTAATTTTCATCAAAAATATTTACTTCTTTTTTATCCTGCTAATAAATTGAATTTCTACAACGAATTTTATTATTCATGAAAGAATTTAAATATTTATAAAAATAATTTAATTCTTGTGAAGAATTTTATAAAAATTTTTAAATAATTGATTTCTTTCGACTAATTTTATGCAAATTCTAATTTAAATAATTGAATTAAAAAGAAATTTTTATTATTCGTGAAAATAATTAAATTCTTACGAAGATTTTTACAAAAAAGTTTTTAAATATTTGAATTCTGTTTGGAAATTTTATAAAAATAGTAGAGACTGAAAATCATTGAATTGCAAAAAGTTTTTACAAATAATTAAATTTTACAAAGAATTCTATTAAAATTTTTGAGAATAATTGAATGTTTGTGTGGCATTTTATTACATTTTTTTTTTAAATAATTGAATTTCTAAAAATCATTTTCTTATTTATGAAAATAATAAAATTGAATTCTTGCGAACGATTTTATTAGAATTCTTAAAAATTGAATTTCAAAAAAAAAAAATTTATTACTTTTAAAAATACTTGAATTCTTCTAATGAATATTGTTATTTATGAAAATAATTGAATTTTGCAAAGATTTTTTTAAAATGCCTCAAAATAATTGAATTTTTGGGAATAATTTTGTTATTTATCTTTAATAATTGAATTCTTTTGAAGAATTATTTATATGTGAATAATTGAATTTTTCTGAAGAATTTTATTAAAATCTAAAAAAATAATTGAATTATTTCAAAAAAATTTAATTAAAATTGTATTTAAAATAATTGATTTCCTTCGAACAATTTTATTAAAATATTTGAAAATAATTGAATTCCTGTGAAAAATTCTAATATTTTTGTAAATAATTGAATTCTTCCAAAGAATTTAAAAAATACGATTTTTTTGAGAAATTGAAATTAAATTTTTATGAATATTTACATTTTTTGAGCAATTTCTGTAAAATTGTATTAAAAATGATTGAATTCCTGCGATGAATTTTATTATTTGTAAAAATAATTGAATAGTTGCAAAGAATTATTATTAATAATAATAATAACTGAATTTTCAGGGGAAAAAAATTACTCACAATAATGGACCCAAAACATTTTTCTACACCATTGAAAAAAATCACCACTGTAGTCAATTTAAAGCTGAAATGAAAATATATCGACAAAAGGACAATTATACAATCTTTCAAACAATCCAAGACCGAATGAAATTCCTTCAAAAGGAAAAAAAAATTATCTTGCATTGTTTGATAAAAGTTCAAAAATAAAATATCAAAAATATTTCTTTTCATAAAAAAAATATATTTTAAATTTAATTTGATAAAAACGAGTAAGTAGATAGTGGAAAACTTTCTGTTTTAAACCTTATATAAGGAGAAAAATTTTCATACATATTCTATTTGTGAAAAGTTTATAACAGTCAATACAAAAAATTCAAAATGTACAAAATTTTATGCGCATTTTTCGTTTTTATTGCTGTTGGACTCGTAAGATATTTAATATATACTATTATCAAATTTACAATTAAAATATAATATAAGTTATAAAAATATAAATAAATACCGTCAATAAATAAATGTACACTGAGAAAAAATTTTTTTTTAATCCAAAAATAAGTAGCCAATAAAAAAAATATTTTTGAATTCAACATATTTTATAATTTTATTAAACGTAAGTTTTATTAAATCAAACTTATATTATGTGTTGAATCAAAATTATTATGTTTAATTCAAAAATAATTTTTAGTCGTTTGATTCAAACATATCGTTTTCTCAGTGTTTGTAGTTTATTTATTTTATTATTTTGAATAATTTTATAATAATTTTTATTTATTTTGTAACATTTATTATAATTTTAATAATAAAATTTGTAAAAATTTTTATTAAACATTATCTCATTTGAAGGCAGCAGATCAAATACTTATGATAACAAGGGCGTATGTTGTTAAAAGGAAAAATAGTCCCACTATCACTGTAAAATCAGCTAATTCAACAACAAACATTACTTGGAATAAAGAGGTTTCAGAAAAAAATAATGCTTTCAGAGTAAGTAAAATCAAAACAATAATTTTTTATTTACACATTTTTTGAGAATACAACTAATTCTTAATTTCTAAATTTTAATTAAAAATCGTTTCTAAGAAAAATTTCTCAGAAAAATCGTTTCTTCACTGTATCAAATTAATATTTACTTGAATCGAATAATTTATATTTAAAACAAGTAAATTGTATTTGTACCAAATAGTCGCGTATTTGAATTCAATAAATTTTTTTTCATTGTATTTTTGTTTTAAAACAAATTGGAAAAAACTGATAATAAACAACTTTTGAATAAAATCAACTTAGAAAATGTAAGAAGAGATTAATTTAAAATTTAAATAATTAAATTTTTAATAATTTTTTATTATTTTAATTTTATCAATTGAAATTTAGAAAAATTTTTCTATGCGAATATTTTAATAGATTAATTTAATTTTCAACAAAATACTTGCAGGCGACTTATGAAATAACTGATCTCTCACAAAATAAAACAATGCGTGCAAGCTCTGCAAATTTGTGCACTATGGCAAAAAAGGGGAGCAAAGAAGAAATTTATCAAACTTATTTTTTGAATATTTTAGCAAATGCCAAAAGTTGTCCGATTAAGAAGGTAAATTTTTAAAATACATATATTGAATATTATATATAAAATTTAAATATTATTGGTAAATTAATAAAACTTTTTTATTCATTTTTAACTTGAAAACGAAAATTACAAATAAATAAAATTTATTTTTATTACAGGGTACAAAAAAAATTTTCCGACCTCGATATTTTTATAAATTTCCAGGTAATAAAACTACATGTGTAAAAATTAAAGGTGTCTTTAAATTATTTGATAAGAGTGACAAAAATGACAAAAATCCTGTCTTAATACATGGCTTCCGAGGATCAAAAATTACCTGTTAAATTATGTCTCTGAAAAATTTAATAAATTAATTTATTTATACCATTACAAGTTGTTCATTAAATTATTTTAAAATAAATTTCTTTTTGAGGAAGCAAAAAAATGTTTTCTATGCATTATTATTATTAATATAAGATTCTAAATTCGTTTTACAAATTTTTTGATGAATTATAAATTTATATACAGACCACTCGCTTTATTACTTATTTTCAAATAATGATTTTAAAGTGTTATAATAAGTTATAAAAAAATAAAAAAATTTTATTTCATATTAAACATAAAAATAACTATTAATTATTATTAAATTTAAAAAAAGTTTTTTCTCATCACAAATATAGTTTTTTGCACTAAAAAGTGTATCTTTGGAAGTTTGAAAACTTTTTTTTCTAACCTAATGCTGAATTGTTTTTGAGTTCAAAAAAAAATTTATTACATTTTAATATTAAGTAAATGAATAAATAAATTGTTTGTCAATAGTAAACCGCTTTATAAATATATTTTTATGATTAAATATTTTCCATTGAATAAACATTTTTTTGTGTTTCCTGTAAAATTTCAAAAAATCGAAAATCACGATTCAATTGTGTCGCTAATTTAGTAAAATTCTTAAACACAAAGCTTCTTCATAAAGGCACAGAAATTACTCATTTTTACCTATTTAAGACCTGTTGCTTACATTTTCCGATAAAAACATTAATTTATTACCAGGAATTTGACGTACTTTGTTAATAAAATTTTATCGGACATTTTTTGTAATGATAAACAAAACAAGTTTGTTTTATATTATTGTATTTTAAATTTTAATATAAAAGTGTCTTAATTTATATTTCCTTTGTTATATTTTTGAGGACTCTCGACAATACTTACAAAATTTCATAATGTTCAAAGTTGTCTGCCTTTTTGCTATTTATTCAGCAGCAACCTTTGTAACTTTATTTAATTTCTTATTTATTTAATTAATTTATTTATTATTATATTATTATTTCATCACAATTATTCTATATTATATATTTATTTATATATTTATTATTATTATTATTATTATTATTATTATTTTTTCGAAGTTATCACTTGCTTATTTAATTATTAGGTATATAATATAAATATAATTATACATAATTAATATTTTATAATTTATAATAATTAATTAAAAATCTTGTAAACTCAGAAAGTTTTGTATTTGATAAAAAAGAATCACTCAATTATTATTTCTGTAAATAAATAAAACAAAAAGTAATGTTTAAATAATTTAATATTTTAGGCATTAGACAAAAAAGCTGAATTATCATATGGAAATATTTTTAAAGGAAGGGAAATTTCTGCTGTAAGTATTGAATCAGCTAAAGAAAAAACTGAAATTACATGGAACGAGTCCGTTAATGCAGAGGAAAATCCTCTAAAAGTAAGAAAATTAACTTTTAATGCAATCGGCTATTAAAAGATATTTTTTCGATTGCTTATAAAAATTATAAAATTGCATTAAAAATTACGTAAAATAAGATAATAGAAAAAGTGTAAAGTGCAAAAAAGCAAAAATAATATGAGAAGGAGTACAGGAAGAATAAAAAAAAATAAAAAATTGAATATTTTTTCGAATTTAATAAAATTTGTACATGTGTTTACTATTTTTAAGTACAGGCTAGTTTATATATTGAATTTGCTAAAAAGAATCAAAGTGAGTTTATTTATCTTTCCAATTTGTGTGGAACTTATAAGAAATCTTCAACTAGACGCAGCGCTCAGATATTTATTTTAAAAACTATCGCAAATGCTACCACATGTCCGATCAAAAATGTAAGCATCAATCATAAAATCCTAAATCTTTTCAAAATATTTAAAAAAATAAATAAAATACCTAATAAATTTTAATAATTTAACAAAATTAATAATATTAATAATAATAGTGATAATAGTAATAATAATAATAATAATAATAATAATAAAAATAATTAGAATAAAAATAATTAGAATAATACCGAATTTTTCAGGGAACAAAAATTATTCACACAAATGGACCAAAAACATTTTCCTATACAATTGAAAAAAATCGTCACTGTGGTCAACTTCAAGCCGAAATGAAAATATATCGAGAAAAGGACAGGACAATTCCAGCAATTTTGGGATATTTTAAAGGAAACCTCACCGGCTGCTAATGTATAATAGAATTTTAATACTATGTTACCAATTATATAGCAGAATCTCTTAGAAGTATTATAATTCTTACTAATGAAGCGAATAAAAAGCAAAAGCGATATATAAAAGAAATAAAATTCTGACTTAAGTTTTTTAAACTTCCTATTCATGTACTATTTTTCAGAAAGGAATATTTTTTATTTGAACTCTTCATTAAAACGGCTTCATTATAACAATGCAGAATATTCCATTCTTTTTTTTCGTACTCAAGAGGCAAAAATAAAATGAAGATAAAGTTCTTGTTATTTATTTGAAACTTTTAAACATCTTTAGTTTTCGTTTATTGTTAATCTTAGGGAAAATTTAGTTCTGAAATGTGTACAAAAGTTATGGTTTGGTCACTAGTAGAAGTATGTTACGAATTTACGATCAGAGAAAAACTATTTAAAATTGTTTTTTAATTCTATTTTCTATTTTATTATAATAAATATAAATTTTTTTACTCTACAAAAATTAAAAATTTGTATCTTACTATAAAAAAACTCAAAATCGAAGGAAAACGTTATATTACAAAAAAGAATTCTTAGCTTTTAATTTTTTAGGCTCATTTTTGTATTGAAAATCGAATTTACTGAATTCAAGAATTATAAAATTATCAAATTATTAAATTACAACCAACAATTCGCGCGCTAAAGCGTGCCGCTAACTTTTTACTTCATTTTTAAAAATAAAATTATCAATTGAGGCCTTGGATCCAATAACTCGCCCGACGCTCGGAGGAACGCGCAACTGCCAGTCAGTGAGCAGTGAGCGCCTCTGGGCCACTCACTGCTACCCGACTGGTATTAGCGCGTTCCTCCGAGCGTCGGGCGAGTTATTGGATCCAAGGCCTCAATTTTAAAAATAATAGAATTTAAAAATTTTAAATTCAAATTTCTGTTGAAAACACTAAAATAATTCAATTTTCGGAGAAATTGCAAATAATTTATTGCAGAAATTTAATTATTTTCAAAAGTAATAAAATTCTTCTTATAAAATTCAATTATGTTAAAAATTTTTTTAAAAATTCTCGTCAAAATTCCAATTATCTTTGTAAAAAATCAAAATTTTTCCCCAAAGATCAAATTATTTTCAAAAATAACAATAAAATGTCCTAATTTAAATTATTTTCAATATCTACTATTTTAATAAAATTTTTCAAGAAAAATTCAATTATTTAAAAAAATGTAATAAAATCACACACAAACATTTAATTATTGTCAAAAATATTAAAAATTCCACAGGAATTCAATTATTTACAATTTTTTTATAAATTTCTTCGCAATAATTCAATTATTTTCATAAATTATTATAAAACATAAAGAAATGAGTCTTCGACTCGGAGCAATCAATTATCTTCATGTTTTATAGCAAAATACTTTTATTATAAGTTGTTTAATTTCAAAAAGGTTTGAATTTGTAATTTTTGAATGTCTTAATTCCTGTGGAAAAATAATAATAATCAAATATTTATTTAAAAAAGAAATTATTGATGTTATCAAATAATTTTACAATTAAAGAAATTCGTAAAAATGTAACGGAACATTTTTTTTCCTTTATTTCCTAAAAATTCAAGAATTTTCATTTTCAATGAAAATTTGTAACTGACAAATAGAATTTATAAACATTTGTTTCGTTTATTTTTAAAAAAAACTTTGAATTTTATTAAAACAGTTGTAATTAAAAAATTTAAATAATGTAAATTATTCCCTTATGAAAATTGAAAATTTTCTACAAAAAATATTAAGAAACAGGAATATGTAGTTTTTTTCCCCAAAATAAGAGAATGAGTTTGTGAATAATATTGTTATTGAGAAATAAAAATTATGCATAAAATGGCTATTTATTTACTATTTATTAATCATAAATTTTTAACAAATTTTCTATTTTTTATAAATAAAGAATAAACAAGAGAAAAATTTGCATAATTTAGATCAGTCGAATGAAATTTGTTATAAAAAAGTATATAATAAACAAAATGGATAAATTTTTTATCATAAGATGGTAAAAAAAAAAAAAAAAAAAATTGTCCATATGATATTTATTATTATTATTATTAATAAATAATATATCATTATTATTTTTATTATTATTTATTTATTTATTTTTTTTTTATTTTCCATATGATATTTCAGCTTTTTTTTTTTTTTTTTTTTGATAAATTTTTTATTTGTTAATCACCATTTTTTAAAAATTTTCTAATTTCTAATATTATTTTATTATGAATTATGAAAAAATACCTGCATATTTTCGATTTGTCAAAAGAAATTTTTTTTAAAGAAAAAAAAAACAAACAAAAGAATACACAAAAACTAACTTCAAGTGTGGACAGAATGAAAGAATGAATAAGACGATTATTATAGTTAATAATAATTAAATCATTATTAAATTATTATTATTAAATTTTACAATTAGTAAAAATTATACTAATTTGATTTGGTAACGTTTTTTAAAAAATTACTTTTTTAATGTAAAAATTTTAAAGTTTAAAATTCAAATTATAGGAAAAATTTTTATTTTGTTTTTACTTTTCTATTTAGAGCGTAAAATAATCAAGTGATACTTTTTCATTAAAAAAAAAGTTTTTTCTTTGCAAGATAATGAGAAAAGAATAACAAAAAATTTAAAATATATATGAAAATATAAAATGACCTTATATGTAAACGTTTCATATCTAACTTTTTTCCATTATCTTCTGCATTTTTTGATGATAAATAATACTGGTCACTGAAATGTTTAAGCATAAGCTTGTCTTCTTGTAATTCATTTTCAGTTTTGCACTGAGGTTATACTCTGCAGAGTTTAATTTAAAAATGCTAAAACTTTTTTGCGTGTTTTTTATATCTCTTGCTTTGGGAAATGTAAGTTTCTCTTCAGTTTAGTTATATAGTGTAAATCTACAGACATTAAGTTAAAAATAAATTTTTCGAAAATAAATTTTCGTGACATTTTATTTCGTTCTTTTTATTTTAATTATTACATTATTATTAGGTATTATTATTATTATTATTATTATTTTTTTTATTAATTTAATGTTTATTTATTTTTAATTTGAATTTATATTTTATTAAAAATAACATATTTAATTTAATATTTAATAATTAAATAATTAAAATTATAAATTATTATTATTCTTACTATTATTCTTTTTTGTATATTAAATAAAATTATTTTGCAAAATAAAGTTAGGGGCATTCGAACTGTGACGTCATAATGGTTTAAAAATGCCCTTAAATAATAATATTATGAAATAATTTAAAATTATTTTAGGCATTAGATAAAAAAGCTGAAATATCATATGGACGTTTTTTAAAAGGAAGAGAAATTCCAGGTGTGACAATTGAATCAAGTGAAGAAAAATCTGAAATTACATGGAATGAATCTGTTAATGTCCAGGAAAATTCTCTGAGAGTATATAAATTTTTCACAATTATCTACATTTAAAAATTTTTTTTTTCATTTGTTTGTAAATTAAAAAATTACAAGTAAAAACTATTAATAAACAAAAAACTAGTAATAAATAAATAATTTTTTTTCATTTCATTTCACATTATTTATTCAATTCTAATTACAGAAAAAAAAACATTAGAAATGTTTTTGTTTAATTTTAATAAAAATTAATATTTTAAACTATTTTCTTAAATTAACTGAAAATGTTTCTCTATTTTTACGTCTATAGGCTACTATACGTGTTGACTTTACAAAAAGCAAAAAAAGTGACTACATTGTCATTCCAAATTTGTGTGACACTTATAATAAAAGTACCTTCCATCAAAGCGGTAAATTATTCGTTTTGAAAATGATTGCAAATGTTAAGAATTGTCCAATAAAAGAGGTAAATGTGTACATAAATAATAATTATGAAGAATGTTAAAAAATAATTTAAAATAATTAAAAATATTTAAAATAACTAAAAATATTTAAAATAACTAAAAATATTAAAAATAATTAAAAATATTTAAAATAATTAAAAAAATTTAAAAGACCTACTTAAAAATATTAAAAATAATTAAAAATATTTAAAATACTTAAAATATTCACAATTTTTATAATAGGTATTTATTAATAAAAAAATAGTATATTTCGTAACGAGTGCGAGAAGTTGTCAATTTTTGAATGAGCTCTTTTTTTGGAACAAACTGTAGGCGAAGCGAAGCTTCGCCTACAGTTTGTTCCAAAAAAAGTGCTCGTTCAAAAATTGGCAACTGCTAGCACTAGTTACGAACGATATTTTTTATAACAAGGTGCAAAAAAGTGCCCTTTTTTGCACCGCGTTATGAAAAATTAATTTAATTACTTTTTTTGGTTTATAGGGTACAAAAAGCACTTATATCAATGAACCTAAAACTTTCCTCTATTCTCTCGAAAACGATCGTAAATGTGGACCATTTCAAGCGGAAATGAAAGTATTTAGAAAAATGGATAAACTTGTTCCAATAATTTTAGGCTACTTTCAAGGAAACATCACTGGCTGTTAATAATTATATAGACGATGAAATATTATCGGAATGTGTGTCATAAACAAGAAATATTTTACGATTAAAATATTTTTCTGTGTTTGAAGCAAAATAAAATATGAAAATAAATTATTCTTTTTTATTTCGAATTTTTTTTATTTTTCGACCTGTTACTGTTTGTTAATAATTTTTAAGTTTCTTGCCAGTAACTAATTAATTTTTCTGACAGTGGTAAACGCAAGTTATAGTCAGACAGAGAATTTAATATAGAATCAGTAGGTAAAGCCATTATAGTCAGACGCTCATTTCTTCATTTGTAATTTTTTGATAAGTTGTTTAAAAGTAAAATAGAAATAAAAATAATATTAATTAATTAAATTGGGTAATTAATTATTACATTATTAATTAAATATAATTGAGTAATTATTAATTATTAATTATTAATTATTAATTACCTATTAATTACATTATATATAAATCGTTAATATATTATTAACTAATTCATTGATTAATTAGCATTAATTAATTACTTAATAATTAAAATTTTTAAGTTAATAAGTATAAATTTAAATTAAATAATTCAAGCAATTTAAGTGGCAGTAGTAAAAGTCAAGCTAAGGTCAGACAAAATTATTCAAATTTCAGAAGTTTTATTATCATAAGTAGATTTTATTTTCGACAAACAATTTTTAAAATTTTGGTAATTAACAGTAAACATTGTTGTTTGGCGAGTAAACATTTTTATTTAAATACATTTACATTTTTCCATAATCTTCATACAATGTAAAATATTTCTTGTAAATTAAAAATTTTTTCCATAACAAACGATGTTTAAATTTTAAAACACTATCAAGCAAACAATGGAATTTTTCGACTCTTTTAATTTTTTATCAGCATAAATTGCCAACTAACTTTGTAAAAGAATCGTTAAAATATAGTTTAAGATAGTGGAAGCGTTTTTAATTGCAAATTACTATATCTTAACTGAGTATTTTTGTTATTTACACTTCATTTCCTCTCATAAACGAGTTTTTATTTTTAAAAACCCGACAATTAATAACAATTAAAGAAATACAATCAAAATAAATTTGAAATATTAAAAGAATAATTATATGAACTATAAATAAATGTTTTACTTTAAGTACATTAATCAAATGAGAACAAGGTTATAACAAAGTATTAGTTTTATTTTTTATGTTAAAAGTGAAACATTTTATCGTAATTGTTGCAATTAGTGTACTTGAAACAGTCACCGATACACGTGTAATGGATATTTTAAAAAAATAAATTTTTATTCAAATGACCTGAATTTTTTATTTTTTGGAAATATTTCATTACAGTTAAAAAAAAATACTTTTCCCTTTGTTTTAAATTTGAAATGTTAAAAAATAATTTTCTATTTTTTTATTCTTCTCTTTACTGAAAATAGCAGTAAGAAAGATTTATTTTGAATTGTAAGACAATTTTTAATTATAATTTGATAAAAGCACGTGGACAGATAGTGTAGAACTTCCTTGTTTTAGAAGTATATAAAGAGCAAATTGATCAGTCTTATTACTTTTATAAGGAATTTGTAACAGTTGACATACAAATTTTAAAATGTATAAATTTATTTGTCTACTTTTCGTTTGTGTCGCTTTTGTACACGTAAGACTCGTTCCAATATTAATTAACAAAATAATAAAATAATAAAAATAAAAAAATATTAATTATATTAAAAATATTTATTAGTTAAGAAGCAGCGTTTGTGATTGTTAGGCACTCAATTCTAATTTTTGGAGAACATTTTTCTCTTTTTGCAATTTTTCTCTGAATAAAAAAATATATAATAATGATCTTAAAATTAGTACTCTTCAAATTTTCTAAATATTGGAAATTTTTTTGAAAATTCATTAAATAAATTAGTGAAAGTTTGGTCACTAATTTACATTAGTAAAAATATTTTCTACTTTTCAGTGAAGTATACTAGTTTCTTTAGTAGTTCTAATTTTTTCTACTAAAGTTCTAGTAAAAAGTGACTAAAAAATTAGTCCAATTGTAAATCTTACCTTAGTTAAATTAAGTAGAGAAAAATAAATTGTTTTTAAGAAATAGAAATATATTCTTAATTATTATTTAAATTTAGAATATTTGTAGGTTATTTTAAAAATATTTTTAGAATATTGTTAGAATATTTTCAAAATATTTTTTTAAATAATTTTAGAATATTATCAAAATATTTTTAGAATATATTATATTGTACACTAAAAACATAAATTTTCATAAAAAAATCATTTTTTTACTTAATATACTAGAAATTATAATTCATTTTCAGGCGGTTGACCATAAAATTCAGGTAAAATGGGGAAAAGTGCGCCAAGGACTAACTATCCTTGTAAATATAAAGCGCGGTGCAAATGCAACAAATATTACTTGGAATGGAGAAGTTACTGAAAATAAGAATCGTTTAAGAGTAAGTTAATTTAAAGACATTTGAAAAAATATAGAGTAACTTTTACTATATTTTTTTATACAATACTAATTTTTATTTTTATACTATATTTTTCAAGTGAAACCTGAATCAAAGAAATTAAAAATTAATAAAATTAAAATAGAAAAATCTAAAAATCTAAAAAGTAAACATTGAACTAAACACTAAACTTGTAAATTTTAGCGAATTTTTGTTAAATTTTACTCTCTTCGAAATAAATTTTATTAAGTTTTAAAATTTACTATACAAAACTAGTAAAAATTAATTTATCATATTTATTATTTATTTATTTTTATTATTATTTTAATTATTTTATTACTTTTTTTTTATTTTGTTACAAGAAAATAAAAAAAAAACTTTCTATTTAATAATTTATTAATTATTCTTATTTGTGATTAAATAAAATCAAATTCAATGATTACAGGCTACTTATGAGTTCACTTATATAGCTCAAAATAAGACACGAACTACTAGGGCCTCAAATCTTTGCACACCCGCCAAAAAGGGCAGTTTTGATGAAGTTGTTCAGACGTTCCTTTTGAAAACCTTAGCAAATTCTGACAGTTGTCCAATTAAGAAGGTAAAATAAATTTATTTTTTTATCAATTTTTAATTATTTAAATTTAAAATTATTTAAATATGATTAGAAAATTATGTTTTTAATATAAAAATGGATTTAAATAACCTGCAATACTTGAATACTGCAAAAATAGAATTCATCAACATTTTGCATGACTAGATGAACTTTAATTCTTTTTGTAATATAAAAATAAAAAAAATATGTCTACCTGACGTAGTTCCTGGAAGACCCCTTTGAAAAATATTTAAATTATTATAAAGTGATCATTTTTCTTTAGCTTTAATTTGAGAAAATTGATAGAATTAATTTTCATTTTACAGGGAACAATGGTTAGTTACAAAACGCCATTCGATTACAGTTACGCAGTTGACGAATCTTTTGGATGTGGAGAGTTTAGGTCAAAAATGAAATTATTCAGGAGCCATAAGATAACAGACCTTATTCCCGTATTGGTGTATAAATTTGGTGGAACTATTACTGGCTGTTAAATAGTTAAATTGTATCATACATGTAACAAATGATCCAATATTAAACAATATTGAATATTCTAAATTAAAATTAAAAATCTTAAGTGAATTTTAAAATTATAACCTTCAGTACATATAGAATTACGTTAAATACAATGTTTAATTTTATTTTTATTTTGAAATTATATTAAACGAATTTTTTTTTAATTTCAAACTTTTATCAATAAAGTTGTATAGATAAAAATAATCGAAACAAAACACGTGTATCTTTCAACAAAATAAGTTTTTTTAAAAAAATTTTTAAGAAACTTGAAGAGTATTTTAGTTTTCATTTGAGAACAAATTTTAAATTACTAAAATTGTATTTCTTAAATAAATTTTATATATATTTTTTCTATAAACTCAAATTTTGTATAATTAAACTTTTTTGTATAATGAAATTAATCAAATTACATGCACACTAAAAAAAAAGTTTTACTTTCAGCCTCTTTTTGAGGCTGAATTTATGATGTAAACGGAGTCAGCCCCGTTAAACAAGGACAGACTTATGTGAAATACATGGGCTGAATTTAAGGTGTAAACGGAGTCAGACTTTTTTTTTCCTGTGTGGTAAATTAAATTTCATTATTATATTCTATTTTTATAGCACATCTTTAGAAATATTATTTCAGTAATTAGTAATTAGTAATTAGTAATTAGTAATTAGTACTATTTAGTTAAATATATTTTTATTTTTCTTATCAATAGTAAATGACTGTATAATAGATAGTGTTAAGACTGCCTCGTTTTAGAAGTACAGTCGGGTCCCCATACTGTTACATTTCCAGAAATTTTCCACTCCTCCAGACTCAGCTCTGTTATGTGCTCAAAGTTTGCCTACTGCGCACCTTTCAGGAACGTAAATATATACACCTCAAGTTTGGCCTAGAAGTATATGCCCCCTTTTCTTTGGGCTTAAGAATACGGCCCTGAAAATTGGTGACGTAACGTGACGTCACCTAACACTTCTGAATTTGGAGGTTATGCAAAAACATAACACTACTGAGGACATAACCATGATCCAAGTAACAAGGTCTCGCCAAAGTCGGGCTCAATTTTAACTCGGTTCGCGCACCATAAAAAAGCCGACCAATCATAGCGATTACCTGAAGCGACGACCATATTGAAGCGCTAAATTTTGAATCAAATACAGAAACAAATTTAAAGAACATAAAGAATAATAAATTAAAAGTAAAATAATTCTTTATTAAATATTAATATTTTTTATTAAATACTTATTATTAACTTGATACATAACATTCACATATATTTATTTATATATTTAAAAACATTACATTTATCTCTAATGCTGCAAGAACTGAAGGGACAATTTCTTTTCAATTTTCAGTGGATAAATGATGAGATAAATTTTGAGCCAGATTAACTAAGACAACCTTTTTTTATTTTTTGTATGTGTTTATATTTTCTCTCTTTAATAAAAAATTAAACTAAAAGAATTATGCAGTCACAAATATACAGTCACATATTATTATTATGCATATCACTTTTAACTTTCAATATATATACTGAGACGAAACTCCAGTAAGGACTAAACTGCTGCGTGGCACAGATTCACTTCGGTACAGAATTTAAATCATTAAAAGGTGATTAGTTGTCCACGTTTCTAGGTGAATCAGAGTATTTTCACTCTATTTTCACCTGGAAAACCTTAAAAATTTAGGGAATATTATAAATCTGAAAGAAACCTGGAAGAGCCAGTGAATGTTGCTTGGAATCTTGAAAATCAAATTACTATTTATTGCAATATTTATTATTATTATTAATAACTTTATATTTATTAATATTAATACTAATTAAAAATAATAATTATTATTAAAAATAAAATAACATTCATAATAATTTATTAATATTAATTACCATTTATTGTAATATTTATTATTATTATTATCAATAATTTTATACGTATTAATATTAATAATAACAATTAATAATATTTATTATTAAAAATAAAAATATATTAATAACAATAACAATCTTATTTTCTGGATTTGAAACACATTTAAAAATACGCGGCTAGACTTTCAATATGGTCGTCACTTCGTCCGCATTCTGATTGGTGCTTGGTTCCACGTTTTTTTTGCCTGCGCGTGGCGAGACCTTGTTACTTGGATCATGGACATAACAGTTTGGAATCTAACAGTATGGGGACCTGACTGTATATAAAGAGCAAATTGAACAGATATGTTACTTTTACAAGAAATTTGTAACTGTCGACATAAAAATTTCGAGATGTATAAAATTCTATGTCTACTTCTCATTTGTGTTGATTTTCTACAAGTAAGATTCGTTTACAATATATTAAATATTTAATACTTTGTTAATTATGTCCATAAAGATTTTTACATTTCACCAAAATTCGAATTTTAGTGTAAAAACATTTTTTTTACAATTTAAAAAATTATTTTCTTTCTAAAAATGTTTACTCTTTTTTTTTTATTTTTTTTATTTTTTTTTATTGTTTATACTCCTGCCCTATTGGCAACGTAACAGTTGACATAAAAATTCCAAAATGAACAAAATTATTTGTCTACTTTTCGTTTGCGTTGCTTATGTACACGTAAGATTCGTTGAAATATTAATATCTTTTAATTTTTATTTTATTTTTTTATTAGTTAATATTTCTCATTACTTAAGAAGAAGTAACATTTGTGATTTTTATTTTTAGAATATTATTAAAATATTTTTAGAATATATTAAAAATAAAAAAAAATTAAATAATTAAAAATATTTAAAAATAAAAATATATATGAAAATATTTTCGTAAAAAAAATTTTTTTTTTTTTGCATACGCTTAATTATATTTTATCTTCAGGCGGAAGACCATACGATTCAGATAACATGGGGAGAAATGTATCAAGGACTAACTACCCTTTTAAGTGTGAAACACGACAAAAATGCAACAAATATTACTTGGAATAGAAATGTCTCCGAAAATAAAAATCCTTTAAGAGTAAGTATAATAAAAAAATTTAGAAAAAATTGTAGAGTAACTTTTTCTCTTTATAAACAAAGTAAAATTTAACCTGAGGAAAATATTTAAAAATTTTAAAAGACCGTGAAAAAGAAACTAAAAACTATATACCTAAACTTCCAGCGTACAATTAAATTTTGCTATTTTGTAATAATAAAAATAATAATTGTTTTATTATTTTCGAAATAAATACTAATATTTTACAGTTTATTATTCGAAAGTAGTAAAAATTAATTTCTTCACCTATTTCAATGTAATAAAATAAAAAATAACTTTTTATTTAGTAATTTATTCTTTAATCAAATTTATTTAATTTATTCTTATTTGCGATATTAAGTAAAATCGAATTTAATATTTACAGGCTACTTATAAATTTATTTATACATCACTAAACAAGACACGATCTGCTAATACTTCAAATCTGTGCACTCCGGCTCCTAAGGGCAGTGTTATGGAAGTTTCTCAGACATTTCTCTTGAAAACCATAACAAATTCTGAGAATTGTCCAATTAAGAAGGTGAATTACACATATTTTTTTTTAATTTCATAAATTTTTTTTCAGTGTAGCTGTAATTTGAAAAAAATTATAAAAAAAACTTTTTTTTTTACAGGGAACAACAGTCAGTTACTCGACACCATTTAAATACACTTACAAAATTAATAAATCTTATGGATGTGGAGAGTTTAAAGCAGAAATGAAATTGTTTAGGCAGAATAGGATTACAAACTTATTTCCAATATTGGTGCATAAATTTGGTGGAACTGTCAGTGGCTGTTAAATTTAATATTAATTATTAACTATTATAAAATATTAAAGAGTGTATTCTAAAATGAAAACTAAGATTAAATAAAACTTTTTATTTTTTATGTATTTAAGTGACAAAAAATTAGTCTCTAAATCTAAAGTTCTCAACTAATATTTGAAATCAGTAAATATTTTCTTTAATTCCAAGTATTTTTCTTTCCCACTAAAACTTCAGGGGAAAATCTAAAACTACTAAAAAAAAAAGTTAATTATATAAAAACTTGTTTAAAAACTAAAAAAAAAATTTACTTTCACCCTAATTTTGACTAAAATCCAATTAGATGAGAAATTTAGTGAGAATAAATAATCATTTCTAAGCCTTCTCAATAACGTTCTGGATAGAAATAATAATACGCAAAGAATCATATTATGTGTTTTTAACAATTAATTTAATGAATTCAATAATAATTCTTAATTCATTATAATTAAAAACAAAACTAAAAATATTCCTTTAAAAAAAAGTCTGAATTTGCTTCAATTGAAATTTTTATATCGATTTTTAAAATATTAAAATAGATGATACTATTTTTTTGTGTAAAATAAAAAATTTAAAAAATAAAAAAAATAATAAAAATAAAAAATTGTGAAAATATTTTTTAATTCTATATAATAGAAAAATTATAGAGCGCTCAATATTTGCCAGAAAATAGTTAATATTATTGATAATTTCTTTTTTAAGTTTAATAGCCAATTAACGAGTTTATATCCATTATATTTAAAGATAATTTTTCGAAATTACTTTCCAGTTTTCTCTAATTAAATGTTTTCATAAATTGTTATAAATGTTTTTTTTGTTTAATTATAATTTTTTTAATAAATTCAACCTAGAAAGCTTGAAGCAAACTTGACATGTAAGTTTGCAGCAAATAATTTTATTGTATTAATAATTATTATAAAAGATTTCTCTTATATGCAATTAATTTGTTATTTTCATGCGCAGGCTACTTTCTCCATTAGATTTACAAAAAAGAGAACTAATGAATATGTTGAACTCGATAAATAATTTGTGTGGTGATGTGAAAAAAGGCACATCCGAAGAAAGGGTTAAGAAATTCGCTTTGAAAACAATTGCAAATATTGATGATTGTCCAATAAAGAAGGTAAATTTAATAATAATAATAATAAAAATTCTTCATTCATTATTAATAATTATTGAAAATTTAAATTATTCTAGTTTATTAGAATTAATGTATAGAAAAATTGATTAAAAAAACAAATTTTTCTAGGGTACAAAAGCAACTTTCAAAGTACCTTCAACTTATCCGTTTTCAAGTGAAAAAAATGATTGTGGACCATATCGATCTGAATTGAAAATATTCAGAAAAAAAGATAAAGACAATGCACATCCAATAATTACAGGTCTTTTTAGTGGTAATATTACTGGCTGCAAATAAGATTCAAAAATAAATAGCTGTCCTAAACAAAACTAATTTTATGTTTTTCTTTCAAACTAAGACAGTTATTATTGCAACACAAAAATTATAATTTTTGATTAATTATGATTATAAGTAATTTGTTGTGTAAAACAAAGAAATTCTATTTCTTGTTTTTTCAATTTTTATAGCATACGGTAAATTGTTACCATTGGTAAATTGTAAATTGGTACCATCAACAAAAATAAAGCATAATTGTAAAAATTTAACTTTCTGATTTTATTTAAAAATTCGTTTTTTTTATAAAGAATAAAAAAATGCGTGGTAATTCATATATAAATTCGGGAAAATGGTCGGGAAAATTATATTAAATAAATAAATAAAATAAATATTAGAAAATTAAAATTTCAAGTAAATAAATAAAATTCAATTAAACTAGATATTTCAAAAAAAAATTAATTCTACTGAATTGTTAGTATAAAAATTCATATTTTCAAAGATTTTAATTTATAACCTTTTCAGAATTTAATTATTTCTGAAAAATTATTTCTGATTATTATTCAAGTAATAATGCTTTTCTTTATTCAATTATTATCTAAAATTTCAACTAAAAATCATTATTGAATCAATTTTTAATATTCGATTATTTAAATAGAAATACAAAAATAAATAATTTATTCAATAATTGAATGCTTTTTAAAATAGAATCTCATAAAGAATTTTATCAACAAATTTTTAAATAATTTAAATAATTATATTCATTCGACGAATTTTAATAAAATTTTTAAGAATGATAGCATTTTTCGAGGAATTTGATGAAAATTTTATTAAAAATAGTTGAAATTCTGCGATGGGTTTTTAATATTTATGAAAATAATTTAATACACAAAAAGAATTTTATTATATTTGCAAATAATTGAATTATCGGGAATAAATGTATAACAACTTTGTTAATAATTGAATTCCTGTGAAATTTTTATTATTTATCGAAAAAAATTAAATGTTTGCATAGAATTAAAAAAAATTTCTTTTAAAAATTTGAATTCTTGCGAAGAATTTTATAAATATCTTTTTAAATCGGAAAGAAGCGCGTGTCTTTTGAAAAAATTTAAATTCCAAATCTTAATAAATAGTTGAGTCCAAAAAATAGCTATTTGATGCACAAAATAGTTCCAGTCGAGAGTATTTAAATTTTCTTATAAAAATGTATAATATTAATCACAAAATTCAATATAATTAAAAACAAAATTACACTGAGAAAACAATAAATTTGAATCAATTCTAATTTCTTGGATACATATTTTTATTTTTATATAATAGAAAAATTATTATGCTCACAATTTTTGCTATAGCTAACAGTTAATTATGCAGTTACATACTTTTTCAATGTTTAATAGCCAATTAATGAGTTTCTATCCTTTACATTTAAAGATAATTTTTCGAAATTAGTTTCCAGTTTTGTAATGATAAACAGAACTAGTTTTCTTCAACAACATTGTATAAATAAAATGTGTTTTTAAAATTTTTTTTAGTCAGTTTTAAATTGAAAATTCTCTCCGATATATAATTTAAAAATGTTTAAACTTCTCTGCGTGTTTGCTGTTTATTTTGCAGTTATATGTGTGAGTTTTTATAAATAATAAAAAAAGTAGAAACCTGCAAATTTAATTGACTTTTTTTTTACTTTGACATTCGACTCAATTTTGACTTTGGTTTTTTACTTTGCCTCTGACTAAATTCACTTTGAAATTTAAAGTAAAGGTCAAAGTGATTGTCAAAGCCAAAAAATCAATGTTAAAGTCAAAATTAAATTGACAAGACTAAAGTTATTTAAAAATTAATTGTGCGGTATTTTTAACAACCCGTGTGGAAAAGTGAGGTGGGCCCACGGTGGGTCCCAGGTGGGCTTCCCAGGTTCTAGGTGGGTCCCAGCAGGGATGGCCCAGGTGGGCGATTCCTTGGCTTGTAACGGTGAATCCAGCCACAGCCCACCTAGGAAAAATCCAGCTGGGGCCCATAGATTTAGTGTTCATTTAAATTAATGAATAAATTGTTTATTAATAACAAATAAGTCGAATTATAAATAAATAACGTTATTATTTAACGATTTTTACTTTTTTTAATGAAATTGTGACCAAAAGCAAATTCATAAATAATGTTAGCATATATGTGGGAATTAATATATATCCTTTCATTTATAAATTAAAAATTTATAAAAAAATTAGAAATTTGTTAATTAAATTATTAAACGGTATATATAATCACTAAATTGCATACTTATACGAATACAATGCAGAAAAATCGGAATAAACGCAAACCTAAGAAACAAATAAAATTTAACGCACGCGGGGATTGAACCTATGACCTACGGACTACTAGACTAACGCCCTAACCACTATACTACGGAGACTAACTACTGAACACCGACGTTTTATTGTCAGTGACTTGTTGATCTGCTGTAATGATTCAATAAAGCACTTACTGATACGAATACACCGTAACAAATAAATAGTTTAATAATAATAATAACAATATTAATAATGTAATAATAAACGATAAATATTCTTAAAATAATATTTATATTATTATGAAAAAAATATATCAATACATTTTTATTAAAAATGTGTTTTTTATTGTTTACAATCATTATAAACATTAATTTGTTGGTCTAAAAAAAAAAATTTTTTTTAGTTGTTTGGACTTAGAAATTTTTACTAATTAATTATGTGGACATTACATAAAAAAAATATTGTGAATACATTTTTGTTAAAAACACGTTTTTTCTTAATCTAAGTCATTATAAACATTAATTTTTTGTTGAAAAAAAAATTTTTAGGTTTGGACTTAGAAATTTTTGCTTATATAATTATTGATGTGGGTCCTCAAAAACTGGGAAGCCCAGGTAGGGCCCAGCTCACGCCCACTTACAATATTATTTCGCCTGACCGGAACCCACCGTGAGTGGGTCAATAGACAAACTCTAAAATGCTTCCGTAAAATGTTAACATGTTTGTCAATTGTCAATTCATGTACGAAGATGACCATAATTACATCAAAGTTTTATTATTAAATGTTAAAGAAAAACTAAACTAATTAATAATTTTCACTGTAAACGATTTTTGTTATTATATATAATAAATTTTACTAATGTTATATTGCAGTCGTTATTGTTTAAATAAATAATTGTTGTTAATTAGTAACTCCTGACACTAGCTTCCAGAAAGATGCAGTTTTTTTCTAATTTTGCAATTAACTAATTCGAACCACATGAAATAAAAATAATTTAAGGTTTTAACAATTCAAAAATTGTTTAAACAAATGATTGTTGTTATTTACTAATTTTTGACACAAAGCACCTAAAAAAATGCAGTTTCTTTTTAATTTTACATTTAACTAATCTGAAAAGTATGAAATAACAGTATTTTATGATTTAAACAGTTCAGAAATTGTTTAAACAAATAATTGTTATTGTTTATTAACTTTTGATACAAACAATTCAGAAACTTGCAGTTTCTTTCTAATTTTACAATTACTACTACTCTGATTAACTAATTGCAAAATAAGAAAAAACTTCATTTTTCTAGATGCTATGTGTCAAGAGATAGTAAATAACAACAATTATTTGTTTAAACATTTGATAAATTGTTAAAATTAAAATCATAAAACATCTGAATGATTTACTATTTACATTAGTTAATTGCAAAATTAGGAAAAAACTGCAAGTTTCTAAGTTATGTGTATCAAAAGTTAATAAATAACAACAATAATTTGTTTAAACAATTTCTGAATTGTTAAAACCATAAATTATCTTTATTTTATGTCGTTCGTATTACTTAATTGCAAAATTAGGAAAAAAATTGCAAGTTTCTAAGTTATGTGTATCAAAAGTTAATAAATAACAACAATCATTTGTTTATACAATTTCTGAATTGTTAAAACCATAAATTTTCTTTATTTTATGTCGTTCGTATTAGTTAATTGCAAAATTAGGAAAAAAATTGCAAGTTTCTAAGTTATGTGTATCAAAAGTTAATAAATAACAACAATTATTTGTTTAAACAATTATTAAAATGTATTAAAAACCGTTATACCTTGATGAGTTAATTATTAAATAAATAAATTCAGCTGGAACAACTTTAAAATTTCAATAAAACTAAATGTCTGTTAGTGTAGTACAATAAAAGTTTATAATTATTGACAATAATAAATTGTTTAAAATAATAATGATTATTATTATTATGAATTAATTGTAGAATGATTTATTGTGAATAGTTATATTTAATTTTCAGACTTTTTCTATTATAATGTTAATATTTTTATGAAAATGGGAAGCCCAGGTGGGGCCCAGCTGGCTCCCAGTTTTTAACTGGGCTAACTTGGGCAGATTTCCACACGGGAATATATTTTAGGCAGAAGAGAAAAAAGCTGAAATAACATGGGGACGTATTATAAAAGGAAAAGATTATCCTGGTGTAACTATAACATCGAGTAAGGAGAAAACTGATATTACATGGAACGAACCAGTAAACGCACAAATAAATCCTTTAAAAGTATGTAAACTAAATTTTTCAAATAAATTTTATTTTTCAAATAAAGCAGATTACATGACAATAAATATTTACAAATCTCTAAAGTTTAAAATTTTCAAAAATTGTTATAAATGTTTTTTGTGTATTTATAAATTTTCAAATAAATTCAGTAATTTATTTATTATTTGTTTATTTTTATACACAGTTAACTTACAACATTGGATTTACAAAAAAGAAAACAACTGAATATGTCAAACTCGAAAATTTGTGTGGTGATGTGAAAAAAGGCACATCCGAAGAAAGGGTTAAGAAATTTATTTTGAAAACACTTACAAGTAGTGATGATTGTCCAATAAAAAAGGTAAATTTAATAATAATAATAAAAATTCTTCACGTCTTATTATTAAATTTAATTATTTATAGTTTGAGTATTCTAATACAATTTTTTGACTTTCTCACTCTCGGTAGTTTTTTTTTTGTATTCAAGTATTCTAGTTTATTAAATTAATGTATAGAAAAATTAATTTAAAAAAACCTAATTTTTCTAGGGTGCAAAAGCAACTTTCAAAGTACCTTCAATTTCTACGTTTAAGAGTGATAAAAATCAATGTGGACCATATCGATCTGAATTCAATATATTCAGAGCAAGAGATCAAGGCAATGCACTTCCAATTATTACCGGTATTTTTCGTGGTAATATCACTGGCTGCAAATAAAATTCATAAATGAGCAGCTGTCCCAAAAAGAAAACTAATTTAATGCTTTTCTTTCAAACTAAGACATTTACTATTGTATCAAAAATTATAATTTTTAATTAATTATGCGTAATTTATTGTGAAACAAACAAATTCTATTTCTTGTTTTTTCAATTTTTATTGCATACTATAAATTGTTACCATTGAAAAAAATAAAGCATAATTGTAAAAATTTAACTTTTTGATTTTATTTAAAAATTTGTTCTTTTATGAAGATTAAAAAAAAAAACTTGGGAATTATTTTAACATAATATATATATATATATATATATATATTCTGGTACCGTATATTAGAAAATAAAAACTTCAAGTAATTAAAAAAAATTCGATTAAACTGGGTATTTCAAAAAAATTAATTCTACTGAATTGTTAGTATAAAAATTCAGATTTTCAAAGATTTTAATTTGATACCTTTTCAGAATTTAATTATTTCTAAAAATTCAAGTAATAATTTTTTTTTATTAAATTATTATCTAAAATTTTAAGTATAATTATTCCTTAGATCAATTTTTATTAAATATTCAATTATTTAAATAGAAAAATAAATAATTTATTCAATAACTGAATGTTCCTTAAAATTGATTCCCATAAAGAATTTTGCCACAAAATTTTTAAATAATTAGGTATATTCTTTCGACGAATTATAATGAAATTTTTAAAAAATAATTACATTTTTTGAGGCATTCGATTAAAATTTTATTAAAAATAGTTGAAATTCTGCGATGCGTTTTATTATTTATGAAAATATTGTATCATCGGGAAGAAATGTATAACAACTTTGTAAATAGTAAAATTCCTGTGAAATTTTTATTAATAATGAAAATATAATTGAACATGTTTGCATAGAATTAAAAAAATTTTCTTTCACATAATTAAATTCTTGCAAAGAATTTTATAAATATCTTTTTAAATCGAAAAGAAGCGCGTGTCTTTCAACAAAATAAGCTTTTTTTCTAAACTTAATGAAAATTTTAGTTTTTATTTGAGATAACATTTATAATTACTTAAATTGAATTTCTTAAATATATTTCAATGATTACAATTGAGAGAAAAAATATTTTTTCATCGTCCAACTCATAGTACACCTTTAGAAGGACGTCGACAACATATACCAATATAGTTTTTTTTTAATTCTAAATTTTAATAAATCATTGAGTCCAAAAAATAGATGTGCAAAAAATAGTTCCAGTTGAGGGTAATTAAAAATTTTTATAAAAATGTATCTGAATCACAAAAATTAAAAACAAAACTACACTGAATCAAAGATTCAATCCACAGATAATTTGAATTTTGAATCATAGATAATTTCTTGGCTACATATTTTTGGATTAAAAAAAAAATTTTCAGTGTAAAAATATGGATTTGAAAAAAGAAGTCCGAATTTTTTTAACTTTTTTTAAATTTAAATTTTTTAATTCGAAATTGCTTGAAATATAGCTATTATAAAATGGTAAAATTAATAGATGATATTAATTTTTGCGAGTAAAATGACTTTCAAAAAATTGTGAAAATATTTTTATTTCTATATAATAGAAAAATTATTGAGCTATAGACAAAAGTTAATTTTGCATTTTCATATTTTTTTTAAATTTAAGAACTAATTATCAAGTTTTTTTATCCTTTGTTTAAAGATAATTTTTCGAAATTACTTTCCAGTTTTTTAATGATAAACAGAACTTGTTTCCCTCAGCAATATTGTATAAATAAAATGAGGTTTTTAAATTATTATTAGTCAGTTCTGAATTGAAAATTCTCTCCGAAATATAATTTAAAAATGTTAAAACTTCTCTGTGTATTCGCTATTTATTTTGCAGTTATATATGTGAGTTGTTTTTAAAGATAAATCACCAAAAAAAAAATAATCAAAATCAAAACTAAACTTCTTTAAAAATTAATTTAAAATTAATAAAAAAAAGACCTCGAGCTTGGGTCGTATTATCAAGAAGTGTTTTTTTTAAACGAATACAGACTTAGAGAGTAAAGAAATTTAATTAATTATTTATTTACATTCACTGTTTAAATCTGCTTTTATTGTGTGGAATTTTTAACAATATATTTTAGGCACAAGAGAGGAAAGCTGAAATATCATGGGGACGTATTATAAAAGGAAAAGATTATCCTGGTGTAACTATAACATCGAGTAAGGAGAAAACTGATATTACATGGAACGAACCAGTAAACGCACAAATAAATCCTTTAAAAGTATGTAAATTAAATATTTAAATAATGAAATATAGTTAATCTTTACATTACAAAAAATATTTACAAGTCTCTAATGTTTAAATATTATAAAAATTTTCTCACGTACAATAAATTTATTATTTTTATGCGCAGGCTACTTTCAGCATTAGATTTACAGATACGAAAAAAACTCAAGATGCCGAACTTGCCAATTTGTGTGGCGATGTTAAAAAAGGCTCATTCGAAGAAAGGGTTAAGAAATTCGCTTTGAAAATAATTGCAAATACTGATGATTGTCCGATAAAAAAGGTAAATTTAATAATAATAATAATATTAATAATAGGGGAGACTGGGGCGAAAAGTTAAATTGTGAAAATAGTAAATTTAAATTTCCCCTCCCCCCCCCTACTTTTGAAAATTTTTTCGTAAAAGAAAATATCAACTTTTAAGTATATTTTTTGCATTTATTCTCACCGCGATTTTTTTACTTCATTATTTGGGTCCCCTGAAGAGATATCTAAAGGTATTTGCTAAATATCTTTAGTCAGATTTTATATATTTGTTGTTAAAATTTTTTTTTTATTTTTCGTTTATTTGGGTTTTATTTGTTTAAAAATGATTTATTTGACATTAGGCAAGTACTCTGTCAAAAAACAAGACCGAAATAAACTAAAATTTTTTTTTTTGAAATTTTATTTTTTTAACTTTATAACTGTTCTAAAGCTTTTGTTAAATGAACACAGATCTTTTATAATAATAATAATAATAATAATAAACCTTCACTCATTATTAAAAATTATTTAAAATTCAAATTAATCTTGTTTATTAAATTAATGTATAGAATAATTAATAAAATAAATAAATTTTTCTAGGGTGCAAAAGCAACTTTCAAAGTACCTTTATCTTATCCGTATACAAGTGATAAAAAACTTTGTGGACCATATCGATCTGAATTGAAAATATTCAGAGCAAGAGATCAAGGCAATGCACTTCCAATTATTACCGGTATTTTTCGTGGTAATGTCACTGGCTGCTAATAAGATTCGTAAATGAACAACTGTCCTAAATAAAACTAATTTAATAGTTTTCTTTCAAACTAAGACAGTTACTATTGCAAAAAAAATTATAAATCTGTGGTGTGTTATTAACTTAAAATAAATGTGTTTCATCATAATGTCCATGTTTATCAGTGTTAATTTATTTATTTAACTATGATGTTAATATTTATTTATTTATTTATTTATTTACTTATTTATTTATTTATTTATTACAAAATTGGTTTTATAAGCTTTTATAGTTATGACTCCAAACTCTATGTTTTCTCTGACGTTTAATGGGTGAATTTATTTTTATTTTTTGCCGACGAATGTTTATTTATTAACTTTTTTGAATCCCTGAAGAGGAAATCATTTAGATTTCGAAACGTTGAAGTAAACTAATTTTTAAAAACTATTTGTCCGAATGGTTTTCGTTTTATTCTCCTTCACTATATAATTAAATAAATAAAAATATTAGAAAATTAAAACGTCAAGTAATTAAAAAAAATTCAATTAAACTAGGTATTAAAAAAAAATTAATTCTACTGAATTGTTTGTATAAAAATTCAGATTTTCCATGATTTTAATTTAAAACCTTTTCGGAATTTAATTATTTCTGAAAATTCAAGTAATAATGCTTTTCTTTATTCAATTATTATCTAAAATTTTAACTAAAAATCATTTTTGAATCAATTTTTAATATTCGATTAATTAAATAGAAAAATAAATAATTTATTCAATAATTTAATGCTTTTTAAAATTGAATCTCATGAAGAATTTTATTAAAAAATTTTTTCTATTAACAAGTCTTATTTTTTATTTATTCGACGAATTTTAATCAAATTTTTAATAATAATTGCATTTTTCGAGGAATACGATTAGAATTTTATTAAAAATAGTTGAAATTCTGCGATGGGTTTTTAATATTTATGAAAATAATTTAATTCCCAACAAGAATTTTATTATATTTGCAAATAATTTAATTATCTATAGCTAACAGTTAATTATGCACTTACATACATACTTTTTTAAAGTTTAATAGACAATTAACAAGTTTCTACTCTTTATATTTAAAGATAATTTTTCTAAATTAGTTTCCAGTTTTGTAATGATAAACAGAACTAGTTTTCTTCAACAACATTGTATAAATAAAATGTGTTTTTCAAATTATTTTTAGTCAGTTTTAAATTGAAAATTCTCTCCGATATATAATTTAAAAATGTTTAAACTTCTTTGCGTGTTCACTGTTTATTTTGCAGTTATATATGTGAGTTGTTTTTAAAGATAATTAAAAAGAAACCTGCAAATTTAATTGACTTTTTTTCTTTTACTTTGACATTCGATTTAATTTTGACTTTTTGCATTTATCTTTGGTTTTCTACTTTGCCTCTGACTAAATTCACTTTGAAATTTGAAGCAAAAGGTAAAAGTGTTTGTCAAAGTCAAATTGTGAGGCAAAGTGAAATTCAAAGTGTAAGTGAAAGTCAAAGTGTAAGTGAAAGTCAAGGTCAAAAAATTAACGTCAAAATCAAAATCAAATTGTTAAGTCTAAAGTTATCTAAAAATTATTTTAATTTAAAATAATTCAAGGAAAGCCCTTGAGCTTAGGTATAATTATCAAGAAGTGGTTTTTTTTAAACGAATACAGACTTAGAGAGTAAAGAAATTTAATTAATTATTTATTTACATTCACTGTTTAAATCTGCTTTAATTGTGTGAAATTTTTAATAATATATTTTAGGCAGAAGAGAAGAAAGCTGAAATAACATGGGGACGTACTATAAAAGGAAAAGATTATCCTGGTGTAACTATAACATCGAGTAAGGAGAAAACTGATATTACATGGAACGAACCAGTAAACGCACAAATAAATCCTTTAAGAGTATGTGAATTAAATATTTAAATAAAGCAATATAGGTAAATATTTACATTACAACAAATATTTACAAATCTCTAATGTTTAAATTTTTCATAAATTGTCATAAATTTATTTTTTATATATTTATAAATTTTTAAATTAACTCAACCTAGAAAGCTTGCGGCAAGCTTGCCATGTAAGCTTGCTGCAAATGATTTTATTACATTAATAATTATTATAAAAATTTTCTCTTTTATGCAATTAAATTGTTATTTTTATGCGCAGGCTACTTTCACCATTGGATTTACAAATTCGAAAAAAACTGAATATGGTGACCTTGAAAATTTGTGTGCCGATGTTAAAAAAGGCACATTCAGAGAAAGGATTAAGAAATTCGCTTTGAAAACAATTGCAAATATTGATGATTGTCCAATAAAGAAGGTAAATTTAATAATAATAATAATAATAAAAACTCTTCATTCATTATTAATAATTATTGAAAATTTAAATTTTTCTAGTTTATTAGAATTAATGTATAGAAAAATTGATTAAAAAAAATAATTTTTCTAGGGTACAAAAGCAACTTTTAAAGTACCTTCAACTTTTCTGTTTACAAGTGATTACAATGATTGTGGACCATATCGATCTGAATTGAAAATATTTAGAAAAAAAGATAAAGACAATGCACATCCAATAATTACGAGTGTTACTCGTGGTAATATCACTGGCTGCAAATAAGATTCAAAAATGAACAGCTGTCCCAAAAAGAAAACTAATTTAATGCTTTTCTTTCAAACTAAGACAGTTACTATTGCAACAAAAATTATAAATTTTGATTAATTATGCGTAATTTGTGGTAAAACAAACAATTTCTATTTCTTGTTTTTTCAATTTTTATTGCATACTGTACATTGTTACCATTCAACAAAAATAAATCATAATTGTAAAAATTTAATATTCTGATTTTATTTAAAAATTTGTATCTATTTTAATGAAGAATAAATAAATACGTGGGAATTATTTTAACATATATATATTCGGGAACCATATATTAGAAAATAAAAACTTGAAGTAATTAAAAAAAATTCAATTAAACTATTTCAAAAAAATTAAATTTACTGAATTGTTATAGTTAAAAGTATGAAAAATTTAGATTTTCAAAGATTTTAATTTAAAACCTTTTCAAAATTTAATTATGTCTAAAAATTCACTTAATATTGCTATTTTTATTCAATTATTAATTTATTATCTAAGATTTTAACTAAAATTCATTTTCAAATCATTTTTTATTAAATATTCAATTATTTAAAATTTAAATACAAAAATAAACAATTTAATTTCAAAAAAATTAATTCTACTGAATTGCTAGTATGAAAAATTCATATTTTCAAAGGTTTTTATTTAAAACCTTTTTCAAAATTTAATTATTTCTAAAAATTCACCTAATAATTCTGTGTTATTCAATTATTATCTAACAAGTAAAATTAATGTTTAAATCAATTTTTATTAAATATTCAATTAGTTAAATGGAAAAATAAATAATTTATCCAATAATTGAATGTTTCTTAAAATTGATTCTTATAAAGAATTTTGCCAACAAATTTTTAAATAATTAGGTATGTTCTTTCGAAGAATTTTAATAAAATTTTTAAGAATAATTGCATTTTTCGAGGAATTCGATTAAAAATTTTATTAAAAACTAGCTGTCGTACCCGTCTTCGACGGGTTTTAGTTTCTTCAAATACATTAAATAGTGTGTCTACCAGTCTCGAAAAATGGGAAATAGCGGAGAATTTAATTTGACCGGAAAAAATAATAATTAGCTACCATTAACTATTTCATTAGATAAATATTACTATTTAAAATCAGTGATTGACTTTTTATCATCAAATAATTTATTATTAATTAATTAAAATGCAGAGAACAATGTTTGTCAATTATTTGTAGAAATTTAATTATTGTATTATAAGTTAATCCAAAATTTCCACCAGTTTTTGGAGTTACAGTGAAGTCAAATTCGAACTAATTGTATCAGCTGGGAGTATAATAAATTATGGATTTATAATAAAAAAAATTTACAACATAACTACTTTTTAAATATCCAAACAAAATTTCCATCCACAATTAATTGTATCATAATTGCTAAAATCTAAAATAAGACCTATATTGCAGGCTGAATTCACAGTTTTTCCCGATTAAATTAAATTCCTGCATATTTCCCGTTTTTTCCAGTTGGTAGAACCCCTGTTAAAAGTATTAGTAAAAAGAAAAACCCGTCGAAAAGTATTTTCATAAAATAAGTGAATTTTTGTAGCCAGTTGTAGATTTATTTAATGTTAATTCTTATCAAGAAAATTTATATTTAATGAGAAAAGATACACCTGTAAAAATTTGGACAAAGCTGGGAAAAACCGGATAGTTTGTTAAACAAAAATAATAATAGACACCTTGTTTAACTTTTGCCTTTACATAATGCTCAAAACATCCCTAAAAGTTAAATCAAGAATTAAAATAACAAAACTTTTTACTATCTAAGTTTTTTCCCAGTAGCATAATGCAAGTATCGTATCACAGGTATTCTTGAATTTCTGCAGTATCAATTTTATCATAAAAAATCTCCATTTTTAATATTTTCGAAATTTTTGCAATTGAAAATTGTTGATTAATTGGATAAACAAATAATTCTAAATTACATTTTTTTTAAGTTAAAAGTTTATCAGAGACCCCAAAAATACTACTTAATTAAGCTTGATAGTAATTGGTCTGTCAATTATAATTTTTCAATTTTTTTATATTAAAAACATTTTTATACTTATACTTCAATCTTATAGTTATAGAACAGTATTTTTTTCAAAATTGTGCTAAAATATGACTAAATAACATGTAATATTTAATTACAGAAAGTTTAAAAGATATACAATAAAAAATATAAAATTTGGAAATTTTCCATTTTTTTAATTTTTTGAAAAAATTGAATACCTCCCGTTCTAATTAATATGTTTAAAATCTGTAAATTTATTGTTTATATATATATCTTATAAAAGTCATAACTGATTAATTTACAGCAATCTGTCAAAATTAAAAAAAAAAAATTTCGAATTTTTTGGAAAATTTATAATTTTTTTTCATATTGATATTATTTTTTAATTCAATTTATTGTTATATATCTTTATAATCATTTGTATTATTAATAAATTAAAAAATGTATGCCAATCTGCAAAAATTTAAAAAACAATTTTTTTTTGAATTTTTTGAAAAATTCATAACTTTTGTTTAGCTCAATATTTTTTCATCAAATATAGCTAATATTTTAAGTTAGACCAATACCTAAAAGATTGCCAAATTTTACTTCAATCGGTCAAGACGTTTTCAAGTTATACGCGAACAAAATTTTGCGGACATACATACATACACACATACATACATACAGACAGGAAATTTTCTATTACCATTTTTGGATTCTCCGTTGTTCAAATAAATAAATTATGCTATTAAAAATTAATTTCGTGCAATGTACAGACAAAAGTCTGATTTTATTAATATAGATAGATAGATAGTTGAAATTCTGCGATGCGTTTTATTATTTATGAAAATATTGTATTATCGGGAAGAAATGTATATAACAACTTTGTAAATAATAGAATTCCTGTGAAATATTTATTTTTAATGAAAAACCGCTGCCAAGTTGTATATTTTTTTATAATTTTGGTGCTCATTTCATGAACACTTTACTTCCTCATGGAGATAAAAATAGTAATATATGAATAACTTTTTATAAATATGGTAAAAGTGATTGAATTTTGAGGCAATCAATGTTTTTTTAAATACCCTACAAGATAGTTACAATAATTTAATAGTTAAATAAAAATTTTCAAACAAAAAAGTTGAGAAAATGTCATTTTTCACAATTTTTGGTTTTTAAAATACAAATAATTTCGAAATTTATTAGCGAATTAGGTTCAAAAATAGGTCAATCGAATCGTTTTTTTAATGCTTTACAAGTTGATAACGATAATTTTAAAGTTACTTCTACGTTTTTCAACAAAATTTTCAAAAAAGTCTTATTTTCCAAAATTTTTGATTTTTGAAAGTTTAATAACTCCGGTTAATTTGGACGAAAAATGTTCAATTAGGGCTCAAAAGATGCGTCTAAAAAACTCTACAAAATTATGGAAAAACATTTATCTAACATTTTTTTAAAGTTATGGGCAAAAAACGTTTTTTTGCAAAATTAAAAATCCAAAAAAAATTTAGTTAAACTTTATTAATATATCAGAAAGTACTCTTACTTTATGTCCGCAGGTGAGATCTACACGGAGAGAAGAGTTAGAGCCAGTTTCACCAACTTCCGATTAAAAGTTAATCAATGATTAAAGACAGTTTAAAGGCTTCTGATTGGTTAATTGAGGATTTAATCATTGATTAACTTTTAATCGGTGTTGGTGAAATCGGCCCTTATAGTGGGTTGTACTATCACGCATTTAGTAAGAAAATTTGAGTTGGGACAAATAAATATTAAGTAAAGGTTACAAAACAACGTTCAACTTTTTTTTTGTCAATCGAACTAAACATAGTAGTGAAGATGAATGTCTGCTTCGTGAAGAAAACAAAAATAATTCTGTTCAAGTTTTTTAATGAAATTATTAATTGAACTATAAAAATATGTTTAAATTAATTAAATAGCAACCTATTACAAAATTAAACGAAATCGAGATAAAATATTATTTTTCAAAACTTTATTTGCTGTGATACTTATTATACTTATTATTTATGCTTGTTATTACAATAAATATTAGGTTATTGTTATCATAATTAAAAAAAATTTTAGGTGTTTATTCAATTATGCGACAAATATATTTTGTAAAGAAATATATAAATATTAATATATCGATTTTATAATATTCTCTATTAAACTAAACAATTATAGAAATAATAATTTTTTAATTAGTTTGGTATTGTTACCTTATATAACCTTCAATGTCTTTTTGTAAAATATTTGTAAAATCCCCACATATAACAAATTCTTGGGAAAATAATTAGTATCACTGACAAAATTATTTACTTAGAAACATTTAATTATTATAAAACTATTATTATTTAACTATAATAAAAGAGGTTAATTTTTATTTTGGCAAATTGTAAACAAAATCGTAGATATGACATTTCATATCGTAGACGATACTAATGAAGTTGGTAGTCTTAATAACTAAACAGCCGTTTATTGAAGTTTACTTTTTGATTTGTTGAACGAAAATGTCACCATATTGTTTAGTAACTATGACTCAGGGTTGAGTATGATTGACTACTTTCTTCTCTCCGTGTACAATTTAAAAAAAAAAATTCAACCCAAAAGCTCTTCATGACATTTTTTAAAAATGTCATTTTTGAACTCCTGAGGTCAAATAACATAAAGATATGTCAAAAAATCGAACTCGAAAAATTTTGGTATTACAATACTTCCTCTATGAGGAAGTAATATATCAAAAAATGTTTGCATATAATTAAAAAAAATTTCCTTTATATGTACAATTAAATTTTTGCGAAGAATTTTATAAATATCTTTTTAAATCGAAAAGAAACGCGTGTCTTTCAACAAAATAAGTTTTTTTTAAACTTGACGAAAATTTTAGTTTTTATTTGAGATAAAATTTAAAATTACTGAATTTCTTAAATATATTTCAATGACTACAACTGAGACAAAAAAAATTTTTTTCATAGTACACCTTTAGAAGGACGTCCACAATATATGCCAAGTTTTTTTTTTTAATTCTAAATTTTAATAAATCATTGAGTCCAAAAAATAGCTGTGCAAA